TGTGGGTTAGTATTTTTCTTTGACTTTTACAATTTAATGTTCATTTTAAAACTCATAAAGAGTTCTTTGGACAACTACTGGTACTATTTTAGTCAAAATGTTTTTCTAGATGTTTATTCACACAAAAAACCCGTTGAAACATATGCATCAATGGATTAATTTAATCCTTCTAAAACGAGTAATCTCCATACAAATGATCAGCATTTGACAGACACAAAATTGAATTTTATTAGATAGTTTTTTTGTAGTTAAAACTTTTTGATTAAGTATCTGCATGGACATTTAAAATTAAATTTATTCTTGGGAATCGAAATAATATTGACAGCCATTTGCCATCTACTTCTTATGCTAAACACTGCCTGATTTGCTAGAATATTTTAACAAGCACATTTGTTAAGTGATTTATATTCTGCTTATTTTTCTGATTTGAAGAATCCATGAAGTTTAATTTATTCCCACATAATTTGGTCAATTTTTGTCATCCTGCTTTTCTATTGGCCAATAACTGTTTCTGCGCCTTATTGACACTTTTCAGCCTCGTCACTCCCGCATTTGCGGTTGTGCTGTCGTTGTGTAAGTCTCATTTTTCATGGTTTTTTGTGATACATAAGATCATTTGGATGTTTTGTTTGATGTGCAAATTCGTCTTTTTTGTCCGCGGAGTATTTTTCAAAAGGAAACCATTGAGGCATTCGAACATATTTTACTGAATAAAACTACAAACACGTCGATATAGTGGCCGCAAATTTTTGTATCCCTTGACGATCTCTATTAATTATATTAAGTCCTATTGCTTAAGATATTTCGCATCTTTGGATTTGCCCGGAAGCTTCAAGTTTTTTTCTTATGTGTAAGTTTTTGGTCTGCTCTTTGAATCTACGCAATTTCTGAATATGTGTGGGGTCGTTGCAGTTTAGACTTCTGTAAAGCATTCTGCTGCCTGCTTATGTCTCCCTTAGTAGGGTAGATGGTGACGTTACTGCGCTTTGTCAATAGTAACTTTGCTTGATATTCACATATGATATGTGATTCGCTTTGAACACAGTGAAGAATGATACCACGTTACTTTGTGGCTGTTCTTCTTTTTCTCTCGAATTATCTATTAGCTCTCGCAATCTAGCGCCCCATCCATAGGCGCATTAATTTTCCACCATAACCCTAGAACTATCATTTTTTGCACGGTTTTCAATATCTTTAAGGCTCACCCGTCTTGGTACTATTTATTTCTCTCAAACATTTGTTGCTAGCTGATCTTGTCGAATTGCCATTGTCCGTTGCTTCTTCCATTTCGAAATTTTCCACTTTTCCTGTATCATGACTAAACTTCTTTTAGCTTTTTATTGTTCACATTGTCATTGATTTTAAAATAACGAAGTGAATATTGTTGCCAACCACCCTCTTCAGTAGTTGGTCCTTACCTTGTTGTCACGTATGCCGGAGAAAATGCTAGTGTCACAGTCATCCTCACTTCAAAACAGTGCTTACCAGGCTTGACTGTTGTGGCAGTTATCGCCGCTTATAACCACCCTTGTACTCAATTGTTTCTCCTGATTTGTATTGCCTCATATTTTAACCAGAACGCATTAACGCTTCTACAATTTCTGTGACTGCTCTAAACTAGTTGGTGCAAGTCCAGACTGTCGCGAAATTTTGGAAGTGTTGATATGATCGGAAATTCTCAGGTTCACTATTGACATTTTACACTAGATTCACGCAAAACATTCCAGTATAGCTTGCAGTTAATCCTTCGCCAATTTTATTATCAGTATCATAGTTTCCCGGGCTGAATTTCGAAGTTGATAGATTTTGCACCATCTTCGAATGGCCCCAGGCTCAGCTGGATTTTCCCAAGTTTGATTAAACGAACCAACATTTCGGAGTGGCTACGTTGCCAAGTTAGGTGTTAATACTGCAAGTGCATCCTATAAAGGCTGAAGTCATTAGGAAAGAGGCATTGTGCGAAAATCTGGCTCCAAGAAAGCACATTACTTTTTTGGCAGCGTGGTTCTAGCGCGTTTTGTGCCAGGCATGCGCCCTTCAGCGGCGTGCATTAGTACATTTGGACAGGATGCACTTGCACATAAAAGCCAGCTTAGTATCTCACTTTGCGAAAGTGTTTAACTACTTTTTCGGTAATAATCTGCAACTCAAACCCAGCGGTTTCTCCTCTTGCTTTAAGTTGCAATGACGTTTAAGGACCAATCGAGAAAGGCCTCCAACCCGCGCAGTTGTTTGGAGTTGGCTTTGGAGGCGGAGCGCCTGTGTAAGACCACAAAGGACTACCAGACAGCGATACGCCTCTTTCGACAAGCTCTTTCAGTCGGCACGGACGATATTGCCGTTCTCTCGGCTGTCTACAGTCAGCTGGGGAATGCCTACTTTTATGAACACGATTTCCTCAATGCCTTGGAGTTCCATCGATGGGATCTTTCTCTGTCAAGGTGGGTCCGGTTTATCGAATGCGATTTTCTGCTGCAATCGTAAGCCAAGTATCACCGAATGCTTTGTTGTGGGCCCCAGCATGTAGTCTTGAACCACGCCGGGGCCACTGACCTATCCCTCGCCCGATTACACTTCCTTGGTACCCGCGATAATGAAAAAGACCGGAGAGGACGTGGACACAACCGTCTACTTCAGAGCCCAACCACCTTGGTATCGTTGTGTCGTGGGTAGAGTTTGCGCGTGTGTATTTATACCTCGGATATGTGAGTCATAAATGCGATAACATCGAGACCCATGTGTGAGGATAATCCAAGATAAATATTCATGCTAATGATTGGAGAGTTAAGGATCCGCGCGGCTGGGGGACATGCTGCGAAAAGGGGAAGATGGAGCGACCGGGTGACGAGGTGCAAATAAACACGATTGACAACAGCTTCGCTGTGGCGGTTGTGTGTAGCTCCTTGAACTTCGTTCGAAGAAATGGATCGACAAAATCGAGTAAAAAGAGCTAGGAAACTAGCCTGTCCCTGTTGATAAGCTGGTTTTCCATTCATCTAACGCAGTAACCTGAAAAAGTTGCTCGTCCAAGCGTGTAGATCGATATACGCAGTCGTCTTGTCTGCACCGCCGCTAAATAAGGAAAAAACGACAGTTTCTTGTCAAGATTTAATCTGTGTACGCCTCAACCAGGCGGTACGTGCAGGTTAAGAAGAGTGCCGCTATTTTGGCATCGCTAAGGACGTAGGAACTCTTGCGACGACGACGCCACCTTCGCCATAAACATCAAACGAAGGGGCAGATTTGACGGTGATGCTAGCTTGCCAACCAGCCACATTGCCAGCCAATCAAGGATCGCGGTGTTGTTGTGTCCACATATAGCGATAGTGGTCCGCGCTAATCCCGACTGCTTATAAAGTCCTCCTCTCACGAGTCACTGGGAACAAAAATTTGCCCGGCGAGGAAGGGGTTAACTGTGCTTTTGATATGCCTTTTGAAATTCACTTCAAGGCTCTTGTAGGCTTTAGGTTGCCAACTCATCTAAATTAAGTGATTTGGGATGGTTGCAGGGATTCGTAGGTAGCTCGATTTGGGAGCATTGTGATGTCTGGCTGGTGTCGATGCGTATTTGATCCGAAACCCAGGCACACAAGGCTACCTTCTGTATTTTCTCATTGTGAACACGAAAGGAGGCTAGCAATTGAGCATTTTTTACTGGTTTTCCCTGCCTTCCCCCTTAGACAAACCGGTGACCTTCACGGCGAGGCCAAAGCCTGCGCCAATCTGAGCACGTGTTTCAAGATGATCGAGAAGTACCCGGAGTCGGTTGTTTGTGCCAAACGTCAGCTAGAAATTTGCCGCAGATTCAACGATAAGGTGGGTCTTTTCCCTGTCTCTTTTTCAATCACCTCTTCTTGCGGTGCGTGCCTCGTGTGTGTGCATAATGCCTGCATAACAGGTCGCTCTCTGCATTGCTTGCACGATGTCCAATTCATATTCTTAAGGCTTAATCACACGACTTACATGTGTGCGAGGAAGGGTCAAAACGTATATTTTCTTAATCACCTACCCCAAAAGACGATTTGACGGTTTTCTAATGCCCAGGGAGGATGTTTCATCACTTTGAGAGGCCTTCTGGCAAATATTTATCAATATGCAGAGGGGGGGGGTGTGTACGCATACTAAGCAATCACACCAGATTATTGCAATTTGTCTGCTCCGAGCACCTAAAAATACACAATTAGCGGGCAGGCTGGGGCATTGTTGAAACTTCTACCATTGCAGTGCCACGAACTTCGGTTGGTAGTTCCCCAGAACAGACCTGCTATTGTCACCGGGGTGTTCATTTGTCTTCCTGTAATATCAAATTACAAATCGTTGATTTCACACCGCGTAAACACACTTTTCCTGTCTGTTTAATGGCTTATCTCGATTGGTAAGGAGTGACTAGACGCAAAATTGATAAATGGCGACAGCATCGCGTCCCTGTGGTGGTTGTGGTGGTGATGTTATACAAGCCGTCGTGATTGCGCTCAGGTCAGTCATAAACCGCCCATTTAGTTCACAGACCATTGCGTTCTGGCACGCACACACACACACACACACACGCACACACACACACACACACACACACACTCGTCCCTTCATTTATTTCTATACTCTCACCGTTTGCTTCATTGCCACCTCTTGTCTGCCCCCCCTCCCACAGCCATCGACAGCGCGTGCCTTATACAACCTCGGCAACGCCTACCACTCCAAAGGGCGTCAATTCTTGCAATTCACCGGGGCCAATCAGCTTGGTGAATTCACCAGCGAGGCCAAACACGACCAGGAGCGAGCGCTCGCCTGCTTTGAGTGAGTTTTTTGCTCTCTTTCTCTCTCTCTCTCTCCCACGTTTTACACACGATCCGACAATTCGACCAGTCAGTCCACTGACTACGCCAGTCGGGTAAGTTGGTTCCGTCAAGCTAGGAGTTACGTGCAGCTTCCAGCATGCCAAACACCTGTGTGTTTAAAGGGCGGATAGGGTTTGTGTGGAGTGGGAGGGGTGAGGATCTGGTTGCACCGGTGTTTGGTTTATTCCGAGTCAATCTGCCAGCTCTCTTCGTAAGTACACTCCGCGCCACCCTAACCACATGGCTCAGCGATCTGACGCTTCCTAGTCAAGCTGGGGGGGGAGACGTTAGCAGCCTCTTTCCACGTATCACGTGACGCCACTGTTGCTAGGCCAATTAAAAGTGCTTTCCTCCTGGGTAAACTTTGAGGGAGCCTACCCCTCTGGCTTGTGGCAGTGTGCGAGGGGTTCAAAGCACATTCCACAGCAGAAAATACCCACCTCCTTGCCTTAAACATCATGTAGGAGCGTGTGTGTGGGTGGGTTGAGGGAGGGGGCATTAGATGACACTGCTTCGATCTCTTTACTGCTGTTTCGGCATGATCTTCCCCAGTGCTATTAACGTCACCGGCTCTGTCGTGTTGGTCTGTTGCAAGCATCAGTTGCATCATCTCATTCTACCCCAACGACAACACATACCTAGGTGGTCTGTGCTTCTGCGTGAAGAGCGCGTGGTATGTCAGTTGATTAATTGCCTGCTCGCTACTCTGGATCGCCCCAGGCCACGTCGTCTTGTCAAAGAAAGAGAACGGGGAGAAGGGGGAGACAATTGTGATTGTTTTGTTTTTGTAGTACAGCTGCCAGGAGAGTTTACTAAGAATGGATGATTTGGTCGGAAGGAAACCGTAGGCAATTAAAGAAGGACACGGCTCCAGCTGGCACCACTAGAACAAGCGTTCCTCTCCGAAGCCTCGTAGGCGTCTCCTCCGACTGTTCAACGTAGACTTGCCTAGTTGGGAAGTTCCATTCCAAATGGCTTTACTGCTTCCGCCAACGTTGGAGTTGTGACCGAGCCGTCGGACACACAGTCCTGGCAAAAGCCGATTCACCTGTTGTGTCCGGTCCAACTGCGAAATTGCGCTAAGCAGAAGAATAGCAAGTTTGTGTTGGTGCCGTTGCGCCTCGTAGCGCTTGGACAAATGTTGCCACCTGTTGAGGCAATTGTCGAATTGTAGGCGTCAGCGTTCAAGCTAACCCCACGAGTGCGAAACCCTGGGGAGGGGATGGGAGATCGGCATAACTTGTAGTGATTGGCGGGGCAATGCTACATTCACTTTCATGCAAACACCCGCTGCACTGAAACCTGTTCTGGCTCAAAGTGCTTCAACCCTATTTCGCAGAAAATTCTTCACTCAGTTAGCTTAAGTGTTTTGTTTACTTTGCCACTGACCTTGTGTGTGTGTGTGTGGGTGTGGGTGTGAATTGATTAGCTAGAATGGGGAGGCAATTTTCCATAATTAGCACCTCTGGTACATATTACCCTCGTGTTTGTGGGGCACAAAGTAGTGGCCTTTTGTGACATTTACGCATAGTTCATCGTAAATGTCCACAGCACTGGCGTTGGAGGCCAGCACCCCCTCTTCCCACGTCTCCCGCGACCCCTACCAACCGAATTTGGTGGTGAGGGTGTCGCGACGTCACCTTCCTTCGCCCTATCGCCTCAACCGATGAAATTTGCTCCTCGCTACACAGTGATTCACCCAACCACCCAATTCACTCACTTCACCCGGTATCGAAAAGTGCCAACCTCCCCCCCCCCAAGTCAATTCAGAAAAGAAATTGGCAAAGTCGTGGTTCGATTTAGGTGACATCAAGAGTCCTGTGATTATCTTGGTGGAATGGGCTGATGATTTTCATGCAGTTTAACTGGTCCAATGTCTCGACGAATCCGTATTTGTTGTGGCTGCCATTTCACAACCCGAATTTCGGTAGCTCCTCACCGTGCTTAATCACCACCCCCAGCCACACTGCCCTGCTGACTTTTAACTGTGCTCACAAACCCCATCAAACAATTACCCTGTTCGCCTAACACTTTCGTCCTGTTTCGAGTTCTCACTGGGAACAATGACACCGAGGGAGAGGTGATTGGGTACATTGCTTTCACCGAGGACACGAATTTCAACTTTGGGGGATGTGGCATTCATGTTGACCAAATTCATGTTTGCGAGAGTTTCCGCGGGAGGGGACTAGGACGGCGTCTAGTGGAAGTGGTGAAGGCTGACAATTACGCGAAGCTGTATTTCCAGAAAAAAGGAATTAGAGAAGCCATCTACGCTCACCTTGGATTTCACAATGCTTCAACCTCTTCACCGTTTATGAAGTTCTTTGAAGTCTACGGACCGAGGGACATGATGGCCCGATTCAATGTGGACGTAAATCAACTTGTGGAGGCGAATGCTTGCACGGTTTTCGTCAAACCTGGAATTGAGATGCTGAAGTACCATGGGGCATTAGACTCGTCGGATGGATACGGTCAATTGGCGCTCTCGTTTAGTCTTGGTTCGCAAAACGCCGAAGACATACATCCAACGGCACAGTTGATCGTCGTCATCAAACACTCTGTCCGAATTCACTCTCTG